GATTGGTTAATGTTATTTATTTGTGTGTTGGAATATAATCGACTTTCTGATTTAAAAAATTTTCTTATTCCTTATTACTTACAAGCTATTGTAATGTAATATAGAGTATTGTATTGTATGTGGATTGGTTAATGTTATGTTATTTGTGTTGAATATAATCGACTTGTCTGATTTAAAAATTTTCTTATTCGGTATTACTTACTCACTGTCGTAATATAGAGTATTGGATTGGTTAATGATATGTTATTTGTGTTGGAATATAATCAACACTTCTGATTTAAAATTTTTCTTATCCCGTATTACTTACTCACTGTCGTAATATAAGGAATTGGATTGGTTAATGTTATGTTATTTGTGTTGGAATATAATCACCATTTCTGATTCAAAATTTTCGGGTTTCAGACCCCAATTACTTACAGACTGGCGTGAGTATTTAAATTATATTAGTTTATGTCTTTTTAAGATATTAATTTTTATGAATGCTAATTTATAAGCTTTTTTGCCCATGCATCATCTGGTTTAATTTTTAATAAGTTTTTCATGTCGACAATTGATCCTTTATAGCTTTTCATCATATAATTAATTTCCCCTCGATATCTTAGAGCTAGTTCTAACAATTTCTTTAAGTTGGCAATTTCTCCTTCTCCCGCTTCTTTTTCTTTCCCATCCTCTTCCTCCTCATCCTCTTCCTCCTCGTCCTCTTCTTCTTCAACCTCCTCTTCTTCGTACTCTTCTTCCTCGCCCTCTTCTCCCCTTCTTCTCCAATTAATTCAGTTAAATCTTCACGCTTCCTTGTATCTGCCTATAATTAAGTAAGCTTTTCCTCTAGAGATAAGTGCAAATGTATCATTTTGTTTATTTTTTTAATTCGTCTACATATTGGACAAAGGTTTTAGAATTGATCCAGCATGCTTCCCATAATTCTTTACCAATATCATCATTAGTCATTGCTATCCATAATGAAATTTAAAAAAAAATTTAAATATGCATCAAATTTAATGTTAAATAAAATTTACTTAAATATTTAAACTTTTTATGTCCAACATTCGCCTCGACAAACGCGTCTTGTGATCTTAGTCCAATGCAAGGATACAAATTATTATTTAAATTACCTAAATCATCAGGAAGATAACTTGCAATTCCTTGAATATAATTAAATATCAAATTTCTTATTAATTTAAATTATTAAGAATAGTAATATATATATCACAAAATAATTTGAATTTACCTAGATTTATACCATTTTTAGTATAAAATATTATCTTATTGTCATTTCTAAAATTTAAATAACATCCAATTATATCACCAACAGTATATGTCGGTCCATATGGCTTGCCACTTCCGGAACAAAAAAAATATCCATCGTCACCATGATAAGCACACCCCCATGAACTATTTTCATTATCTTCTTTATCTTCCACATATTTCCTTCCTAAGAGATATTATGTAATAATAAAATTAAATAAAAATAGTCCGTTATTACCAGGCATGAAATCGCTTATATTGCTTTGTTTCGTACAGTATCCTATCCCAATCATTCTATTGATAAATAGAATTAAAGTGATTATGAAAATTTATAATAATAATGACTTAATACATGAAATAGTTATTTAATATTACCCGTTTTTTCCTTAATTTATAATTTCAATTTCAAAGTAACATAATCCGCATTGTGAAGGAATTGAATTATTGGCACGAATTATAACAGCTTTATAATCATTAGGATCTTTAAAAAAATTTTTTTTAATTATATAACAATATAATATATTTCCGAGAAATTCCTCTATTAAAATCTGTTACACATCTCACCCGTATAATTCACTTTAAGCCCACTTGAATCTATGCTAACAAACTGTGATTTATCAATATTCCACGCGGTTGGTAAAACAAGACCATTGTACAATGTAGTCTCTCCCATTACATCAAATTTCCATCCAGTTCTTTTATCTAGACAAACGATTTTATTTTAGGCGAATTATTGTCAGCAAAATGTAAGTCTAATTTATTTAATAGTACGTATCTTCATACATGTTACGCAATACGTATTAGCCCATTTTTAATTACGTATCAGTACCGTACGCGGGATTTTTCGGAATCATGTGCATGAATGCGCATTTACTATATCTCCTCCCCTAGTGTTTATTTATCGTAGCTATAGATACTGTAATCGAAATTATTGCAAAAAACCTTAACCCTTTATTTTCACATAATTGTCCCATAGGCGTTACGATAAATATTATAGCTAAATAAATTGATCAGATTTACGAAAAATAACAGATAAAGAAATTTGTCGAATTATAACAAATCGAGTAAAAGTTGCGGAACATGTCATTGAAGAAATATAAGAAGTGTGAAAAAAAGGATATTGTGTTGTATTTAAACGTTTTGAAAACGTGTTAACAATTGTCAAAGTTTACGAGTCACGAATGTTCGATGAATCTCTAAAAGAAATTAACTAAGTATAACTGATGAAGAATTATTTAGAAAAGTTAATTTATTTATATTGACTATTTATTTCTATTTATTTAATATGCGCTTTTATTTTTGACACACAAGGAAGTTGATAATGGGGTTCAAGATTCTAGATCTTACAATTTAAAGTCAAATGATGACTATGTGAAAAAGATTGATCCAAATGAATTAACTGCTCTACCCCCAAAAATAGCTCTACTTGTGTTATTAAAAAGGTTTATAGTACAATTGAAGTTGAATGTAAAAACTTCAAAGCATCTAAATATTCGTCATTTCTATGATCTCTCATACATTATCTCAAAAATTCTGGTTTTTAATTGGGCTGAATATTGATCATTAAAAGACCTTTATTTCATAAATATTTTTCATGATTTTAGGTATGAAAATGGTTTGGTAGTTAATAATATTGGTTACGTCAGCCAATCAAATTTCAAGCTTAATTTTCATTGATACGTAATCTCAAAATTTGAAATAAGATACTTCAAAAGATTTTAACATAAGAGGAAAAAATATCATTTAAAAAGATGAAATAATAATAATTGTTTTTATAATGAAGAATATCAGTTATATTTTAAGATACATGTGTTAGCTTAGAAGCGAAATCTGGTTTTTCTTACAAAACATATAATTAGCAGATATTCCTATTATTTCAGATGTGCTGTAACTGACATTACACTTAACCGATTTCTTTTTTCGTGCATATTTATTTATATTATACTGACCTCGATATGCGATATATCAAATAAAAATCTAATCACAACGTTCGGGAAATACCCTTTAAATTTTGGGGTACGAACAAAAGTAGCGCAGACGACAAGTTAGATTGACTATACATAAGTTGAAACGGTCAACGATCAAAAGAGAGACTTTCTATAACTATATCTCAAAATAACCTCATGTTCTCAAAACAACTTCGTACGTACAATCGTGGCAATGAGTTTAAACTCATTGCCAAGGGCCAAATGATCATTAATATTTGGGATCTACTCTACCCATATCGATATGCTGAGTCACATAACGACCGTGAGCACATGTATTCGTGAATTCGTGATTACGGAAACATGACAAACGGGGTCTAACAATAGTATTAGGCATTGCATATACAGTAGTTTAATTATAATAAGTTATTAGTATAAATAAGTTTAATAAAAAATCTTTTTTTTTTTTGTTTTGTATTCACCTGAATCGTCATGTCTAATAAACCAATAAGCGAGTGTTCTAATCGAGCAAGATAATTTAGGTATCTTCTCAACATGGTTTAATAATTAAAATTAGCTAAACTTTCAAAACCAACACTAAATATTCAACATAACGAATTTATGAAATTAAGCTAAAATTTGGTCGCCAAATCTAAATATTTGGACCACAATTTTAAATGTTAGTTACCAATTTACATATTAACAAATCAACGCTAAACCCGCGAAAAAAGTTTTTTGGAACTTAGATCTTGATTGATAACGCGTCTAACACATCTTTCTCATTCCCCACATATATGTATGTTATCAGACATAGAAATTTATTATAATGACGCACTTCACTCGGGGATAGTGGTTATTTTAGTCAAAAATCATAATTGTTTTATTAGTGGTCAAAAATTTCAAATTTTGGGATATTTCATAAATTCTCCGCAATGCTAAAGTATACATTATATAAATTAGTGTATATAAAATTTTTATATATCGACTTATTTTGGGTTTTTAATATTAATTTTGGGTTTTGATGTTGATTTGGAATTTTGGTATCAATTTGAAATTTTGCATCAGTATGAAATCTCGGTACTATATCGGTTTGGGACTTTGGTATTGGTTTGGGATTTCTATATTGATTTGGGATTGCTATATTGATTTGGGATTTCTATATTGGTTTTGAGTTTTGGCATTGATTTTGGAACTAGTTTAGGATTTCGGCACTCGTTTGGGATTTGAGTTTATCATATTCAAAATTAGTTAATACTATAGCCTAAACTTAAAGAATTTAGGAAGATTTGGGGTTCAGGACTCATCTATACTTGGTACAGTCAGCAATGTACAGTAATAATAAAAATTTTATTTTGTAGTATTCGATTGATTTGAATATTGACAAGTTTATGTTGCGATTTAAAAAAGCCTAGATGTGACGTAAAAATTGGTAATAAATTACAAAAATAATTCTACTATATATGTTTCTATCACAATAAAATTTACAAAATGCGTTTAAATGAAGTTATAAGGTTTGTTATAAATGACACTACAGTATTTATGCGTTGAATTCGGCCGATTTTAAAAACAACTTGAAATTTATCTGTTCATAAGTCCAAACTTACGGTATCATAACTCCAATACTAATTTATAATATTTACATCGTACACAAGCCCTAATTCTGAAGACTTACTGTAATCCAAAATATTTACATACAAAGTTCTAGTATGTAATATATGGTGCAGTGTATGTAGGATTTGTCATATGAACGACGTCAAATGAAAACCTGAAAATATTTTTCCAAGTTTTTATTTAGTTGTATACTGAAATGTTTGGAAAATATAATTCCAATTATTTTTTCCTCTTGTGCCTTTTGGATTCTCTTTGACGATCAATTTCGTCCACATCACAACTTGAAACAAAGTTCAACCCGCTAATTAGTTCCATAATGTTCTTTAAAAATTCACCGAATTCATCCGACATTGAAGGATTATTTAGGTCATCATGTAATTTATTTATTTCGTTATACCAATCATTCAAACCCATATCACACCGCTTTCGTTTATGAGTAAATGTTGAAACATCGTCAATATCCATGTTATCCGAAGATTTGTTATCCGAACATTTGACAGAATTTTGCAATTGTTGCGTAAATAATTTAGTTAAATGGTGTTTTAATCCATCAATTATATCGACATGAGTAGCTTTCTTGATAATTTCCAAGTGCGAAGGTTTAAAAAAGTTTATATTATTGGAATAGTTCTTAAATGCATCACATATTTCTTTGAAATTGATTTCAAGTTGTTCACTTAAAACATAATTTCGTTGTTCACGTTGTTGAACAAAAACATCAAGATTAACTCTTTTCACCAAAATATCATTAAAACACCAATCCGTAATTTTAGCATCTGTTCCAAACTTATTTAATATCCAGCAATAATAAAACGCCGGGAATTTTAAAGGAGCAAATTGCCTATGATTATCATCATCCACTCTATTTTTCATATCAAATTCCATAGCTTTAAAAAATACTTTTTCATGATCTTTGTCAATTAACGAATACAGGAAATCCAGAACATCAGTCTTTTTCGATTTTTTGTCCAATCGAAATATTCGAAATAATTCAATTAAACATTGATGTAAAAATTCATCTAGTGATTCATTCCTTATTTTTAAAAATGCCTTTATCATTATATCTCCAACCTCAACCAATATTCTCTCAACGAATAATATTTCAACAATAACGTTATAATCTAATTCAAAACCAAACTTTATTAATTCCGAAAGTCGCTTTACTACTTCCTCAGAATTTGGCGGAGTCCAATTAATTGCAGATGCAGGAGAAAAGAGCATGATGATAGCACCTTGCATGACCAATCCATTAACATCTTTACAAATGCTGAGATATCCAATCTTATGCCAGTCATTCACCAAATCCGGATGAATCAGTATTGCTCTAGCAATTACATTAAGTTGCCTGTTATTTTCATAACCATCTTTAGCAGGATATTCCTCAGGCGTAATTTGAGTATTTCTTGGTCGCGGTGGGGAAGGAATAAATTTTTTGTTCAATATTAAATCTTTGATTTGTTCCAAATTATTAATCATAATGACCTTAGCATCTTTAAGAGCATATGGACCAGCGGATAAAAAATGGAATAATTCCATGTCATTTCCCTTTAGTGGAAGATGAGATTCACCAAATTGTTCGGCGGCCATCCTTAATATATATAAAAAAACCGACATATCCAAGTCACTTGCCCAAGGTTTTTTTGTGGTTTGTAATGAATTATTATTTGCACGACCAGAATTGTTATTGTAATCCATTTTTAATTTAACAAGATCTTTATCCATTTTTCCGAAATGTAAAAGAAGGCGTTGAACAAAGTATCTGGATATAATAGCCTTGTTAGCGATGATAGCCCTAGCAACGGGTAAATTGATAAAATTTGAACCAAATTTGATCGCATAGAAAAGAGCATGAGCGTGGCCATATTTATAAATAATCCATTTTGCCCTCGCTTGTTGATCGGTTGAAATCTTGTACCAATTTCTACATGTCAGCATTAAATGCAAAGGAGAGTCAACATATTGAAAAATGAGGATTGAAATTTCATCTACTAAGCCATGTTGAAAATGTGAAATCGTAGTAGGTTTATTTTCTATTTGTTCTTGAATACATTCAATATTTCCTATTTGAACTTGAATACATTTTGCTGGATAGTTCAAAAATATAAACAATATATATATTTTTTTAAAAAAGATTTTTTTTAATTTCTAATTATTTGATGTAATATCATAAAATATATGAATTACCTGTATATAGTTCTTTATATTTTATTGGAATAACATTTAATATGAAATTGAACTTCTTGGCATTTATAGAATGTTTGAGTTGTTTGAATCGTTTGAATAAAGATTTACTTTTAAAACTATCACTCAAAAGTCTCGAAAATAGATAAAAACCATGAGAGTTACATTTTGAAGCTTTATGATTTTTGATGTCTAAACGTTGATCTATGGTTCCAGGAGCATTAGAATTTGAAGCGATTGCTTTAGCTGGTTTTCTAAAACATTTAAAATCTGTGGCATTGTAATTTTGAGGACATATAATAATTCCTAAGATCTATTTATTAATCAAGAAATAAGTATTCTTGCCAACTATAAAAAAAATGTAAATTTGAAAATTTATATTTACAAAATCATGATGAATGATTCCGTTTGAACATTTATAGCTTATATCATCGTTTAAATCATGTTTATGAGGCCAATTATTCTGAGAATGCTCTTGTAAATGAGATCCAGACGCATTGTGAACGCGATATTTATCAGAAGAATGTTTTGCCATCTTTAAATTTTTACCTTGAAATACCGGCCAAGATAGAGTATTAATATCCAAATTATATATATATATGTATATCGGTGAAAAATTCCGCTAACGATGATAATCGCATAGGTCATTTTATCATTTTATGGATAAATGAATATAAGCAAAATAAAAACAAAAATTCAATAGATTAAAGAACATCAACTAGAATATTTCTTTTTAGTGACGACTAATTTGGTAATTTCAATAGTATTCAATAGTTACTCGAAAAGGAAATTTCTATAAATAATTGGATCCCGATCGTAAATTGCATATCTCTATAAGATAATAATGCATAAGCTTACTTGTGTATTGCATGCCTAAATTTAACAACTTCAATAGCAAAATTTGGCTAAAATTAAATTGTGGTACATACATATAATTTCCTGTGCAGTGTATACGTACGTACGTACGTACAGTAGTCTCACAAATAATAAAAAAAGGAATACGTATAATAAAATTCTAAAATTTGACGTACTGTACGTACGTACGTACATACGTATCAATAAGTTTGTATTCAGTCAAGTAGTAGTACAAATTCGGACGGACATGCGAAAATTATACTAAATTTTGAAAGTACGTACGTACGTACGTACGGCTAATATAGACTACGTAGTAAAATTCAATTTTCATAAGTAACCATTGTTAATGGTTAGGGTTAGGGTGAGCGC